AAGGGAATAGTTAAAGAACATATATGCATGACCCAAGGACACAAACATGGGGAAGGGATTGACTGTGGGAATGGGGGGCAGGGTGAGGTGGAGGGGGTCAAATTGGGACAACTGTAATAATAAAATATTTTTTTAAAATAAATAATTTGCCCAAGGATGTGTTTATTGATTTGAGAGAGAGAAGGGTCGTATTGTTTTAATTAAGGAGAAAGCACTGTACAGCATATCATCGGTCCTTTGTAATACCATCCCCCAACACTCAAATATGTAGAATTCAATCATTAGAAAAATTGGTTGAAAATGGGCCTCACAAAAAATATAAGAGAAAGAATAAAACTATTAAAAATAAACAACACAAAGAACTCAAATAGGTTATAATTTGTCTAACAAAATTCCATGTTTTACAGGCCTGTTACATTATTAAAAAGGAAGGAAGAGCCTAAAAAGTAATTTTTTAAGCCCTGGCCTGGTGGTCAGTTGATTGCAGTATCCTTCCATTCACCCAAAGGTTGCAGGTTCAATCCCCAGTCAGGGCACATAACTAAGTTGCAGGTTCAGTTGCTGGCAGGAGTGCATACAGGAGACAATGAATTGCTGTTTCTCTCTCACAATCTCCCCCCCCGCCTCAACACCCAAAATCAATACACATATTCTATAGTGAGGATTTTTTTAAAGTAATTTTTTAAGTATATTTTATTGGTTATGCTGTTACAGTTGCCCCACTTTTTCCCTCCCCTTTATCCCCCTCTGTGCATTACCCCCATTCCCTCCAGCATTCTCCCCGCTTTAGTTCATGTTCATGGGTCATATATATAAGTTCTTTGGCTTCTCCATTTCCTATACTATTCTTAACGTTCCCCTGTCTATTTTCTGCCTACCAATTATTACGCTTATTCCCTGTACCTTTTCCTTCATTCTCCCCCTTCCCCTCTCCACTAATAATCCTCCATGTGATCTCCATTTCTGTGATTCTCTTCCTGTTCTAGTTGTTTGCTTAGTTTGTTTTTGTTTTTGTTTTTTAAGGTTCAGTTGATAGTTGTTGAGTTCACTGTCACTTGACCGTTCATAGTTTTGATCTTCTTTTTCTTAGGTAAATCCCTTTAACATTTCATACAATAGGTGAGGATGAACTCCTTTAACTTTACCTTATCTGGGAAGCACTTTATCTGCCCTTCCATTCTAAATGATAGGTTTGCTGGATAGAGTAATCTGGGATGTAGGTCCTTGCCTTCCATGACTTTGAATACTTCTTGCCAGCCCCTTCTTGCCTGTAAGGTTTCTTTTGAGAAACCCGCTGATAGCCTTATAGGAACTCCTTTGTAGGTAACAGTCTCTTTTTGTCTTGCTGCTTTAAGATTCTCTCCTTGTCTTTAATCTTGGATAATGTAATTAGGAAGTGCCTTGGTATGTGATTCCTTGGATCCAACTTCTTTGGGAATCTCTGAGCTTACCAGACTTGTATATATATTTCCTTCACCAGATTGGGGAAGTTTCCTTTCATTATTTTTTCAAATAAATTTTCAGTTTCTTGGTCTTCCTCTTCTCCTTTTAGGGCCACTATGATTTGGATGTTGGAATGTTTAAAGTTGTCCCAGAGGTTCCTCAGGCCCTCCTCATTTTTTTGATTTCTCGTTTCTTCATTCTGTTCTGGTTGAATGTTTATTTCTTCCTTTTCATTCAAATTTCTTCCTTTTCATCCAAATCGTTGATTTGAGTCTTGGTTTCCTTTCCTTCATTGTTGGTTCCCTGTATATTTTTCTTTATTTCTCTTTATAAAGCTTTCAGTTTTTCCTTTATTTTGCAGCAGTACTCAATCATTTCTGTAAGCATCCTGATTATCAGTGTTTTGAACTGTGCACCTGACAGGTTGGCTATCTGTTCATTGCTTAGTTCTTTTTCTTGCGTTTTCTCTGTTCTTTCATTTGGGCTGTATTTCTTTGTCCCAATGCGCCAGTCTGGACGACTGTTTCTTCTTTAACTGCTTGGATGCTGGACTTCCATACAATTTGATTTTCTGACATTTTGGGTGGTTTTTTGTTTTTAAATTGGTTGTTATCCTGTTTTTGGTTGTGCAAGGAAGCAAAGCTTATTTCCCTTTGTCTCCATTTTGGCCAGAACAAAAAAAGTAATTTTTTAATAATCAGGTGTAGTTGTGTGCTTGAAGGAAAGCATAAAAATACTCAAGATAATGCCTGCCTCATGTATATTTCAATGTAAAAATAAAAAAACACTCAATTTAAAATGGCTCAGTTACTTATACCTTTGGTGGCTCTGTAGCTTTTTTGTGTCACAGACTCCTCTGAGACTCCCATGGGAGCTATGGTCCTGTCTTATAGAAAAACATGCAGATAAACATACATATCTAGCACTTTAAATATGTCATGGCAGTCACACAGCCATGTAACCCAGTTGTAGAACTGATGCCTTAACAAGCAGAAATAGCAAATGAGGTAAGACTCCTCAGAAAAGAAAATAAACTGCTAATAACAATTCCAGATCTTTTTCTTGGTCATCCAATCAAAAAACACTAAACATAAAAATCTCTATTGACTGAATTTTTTCAAGAGATATACACAAAGACAGAGCTAAAATGCAAGCACATGCCCTGGCTGGTATGGCTCAGTTGGTTGGGCATGGTCTACAAAACAAAAGGTCACATGTTTGATTCCTGGCCAGGGTACTGCCTGGGTTGTGTGTTCGGTCCCTGATCAGGGTATGTATCAGAGGCAACAGCTTGATGTTTTTGTTTTTCTCTTTCTCCCTCCCTTGCCCTCTATCTAAAAATAAAATAAATGAATAAAAAAAAATGAAAATAAATAACTTCTTTAAAATAAAATGAAAAGCATTCACATGTCTTAAAATCAAAACCTAAAGTGGTTAAAAATAAATCTAATTATTAATATTAGTAGTAAGTTACTGAGCATTTGTTATATACTGTATTATTCTAAGTGTTTAAGATATATTTATACATAAATGTAAATAATTGTTATCCCCAGTTCACTAATAAGGAAATTAAGGCACACAAAATACAAAGAACAACTACACAAAACATAAATGATTAATGACATTAAAAAGCAAACAAATCCCATATAGAGTACACCATCTAATAGTAACTTAGACTTGTATTTGTATTAGCACAGTTCTACAAAACAGGACATGTTGTCCAAACTCCAGAAGAAGAATGACAATCTTGATCCTTTTCCGTATTTTTGCCAAGATAATCTTTATAATACCATATTCATTTAGGAGTACACTGTAACCAGAAGTATGAACACAAATGTTCAAAAAGAGTACAATACTAACTAAAGGATTTATAAGATTAAAAATGGAAGATTAATTTTGAGGACAAAAAAATCTTTGCTTTCTAAATTACTGTCTTTTGTGTAAGTAGCAGCAATAAATCATGCTTTGGAAAAACTAGCAATATAATAAGATATAAAAATATTGAAATAGGATACCTTTTCCTACAGGGGAAGTCCAAGCTCCCCTACCTCAAACTTTCTTCAAGGCTTTGCCTCCTTTTTACCATTTTGGGTCCATGCCTCTTCCATTCCAGGACAACCACAAAACTAGAGAAAACCTCACAAGTTCAACAGGTCTTACTAAATCCCATCACAATTGCAAGAAAAATTTCAGATTCCCTGGACGTGCCTATGCTATGCCCTATACAATGCTGCATACACTAAACATGTGCTGAATGTTTGAAACTTCTCCAGAAGAAGGTGTATGTGTTTAATATTTTCTACCTCCCATAATATGAGTACTACTCTACAAATTATTACAGCATCAGAATAATGCAATAAGACTGTTCTTTTATGTTAAATCATATGACTAAAAAGTTCTAATAATATACCACTTTTTTTAGATTCCACATCCATGGGGAAAAAGAGAAAAAGCTAATTTTTAAAATTCAATGTATGCAGTTACTGGTAACTCAAGATACCACAAAAATTTTATCTGAGCATATTCCTTTTTTTAAACAATGACATTCTTTTTCTTTTTTTAAAGATTTTATTTATTTTTTTAGAGAGAGGTGAAGGGAGGGAAGAAGAGAGGGGGAGAAGCATCAATGTGAGAGAGAAACATCCATCATTTGCCTCTCGTACGTTCTCCAACCAGGGGCTATATCCACAACTCAGGCATGTGCCCTAACTGGGAAACCAACCCATAACCTTTCACTTTGTGGGATGATGCCCAACCAGCTGAGCCACACTGGTCAGGGCAACAGTGATGTTCTTAACATACTACAATTTTTTTGTTATGTTTAATGAAAATACAACACAATCATGGATCTTTTTTTTTATACCACCAGAAACCTTTTTGAATTCTGTATGAGAATTTAACTCCACTAAAGTAAGTGGCCTGTTGCTTTAATAGCAATATTCTAAATTCAGTGAAGGTTAAAAACCAAGAAACAATGAAAATAAACATATTCATATATGTATGCTGCAAAAATGTTCCCTCTGTATTTAATTCAAAAACTGAAACACTTGCTCCTGAACTGTTAAAATATCTCATATCAAACACACAAAACTGAACTATATTTTACACCATTTCCTAGAAGTCTATACCAATTGAAAAAAGTAAATTTCTGCATTACACAGGCCTTTTTAGTATAGAAAGTACGCAAGAGCAAACATTCAGACTAAAATATTCCCTAATATTAAGCAGCATTTTTTAAAAAAACAACTTATAATTGCTGAATATCGATTTACCGAAACAGGCAAAACTCAGAATAGTTTCTTTGTCATCTTAGAAGACAGCGTGATACACCATACTTTTCGATCTGCTTTGTTCTATTTCTTTATGCTCCAAATGGAAATTAAATGCTTCTAGTAACAGCCAAAATTTCATCAATCACAGTAAAGAGAAGTAGCATCATATGAATAACAGAGGTATTCCACAATAGGTGAATGGCCTTGGTAATGACCTTAGAGTATATGTTAAGACAGAATTCAACATGTACAGGAATGACATTAAATAATTCTATTCTCACTTACCTGATGAGCTCTCAGTAAATACTGTTAATGTTTGTCCTCCAACACTTTGCAAGACAAAAGGATGTTCTCTTGGAGCACTGACTGAAGCTGGTTTTCCGCCAATATCATGGATATTTGCGAGATCCTCATTTAAAGTAAATGACACCTAATAGACACATTAGGCAGAGCTTATTACAACAGACTTTTGTATTCAAAAGTAAAGAAATTCTGACTATAAATCACTTTTTTAAAATGTGAAAATCTTCCAGTCATTTAAGCATTTTTTAGACTTTAGACAAAAATCTTTAATACTCAGTTATAAAAAGAGACTCTATTCCCATTTGTCAGGAAAATGGGAGCTAATCTACCATTGCAAATACAAATAGCTTTCAAATATTTTCTCTGATCTATGGCTGAAGAAATTCTATTTTGAAAATAGGGATACAATATTTGTCCCTATGGTCTTTAAAGTCAAGAGTCCATGTCTTGTTATATTTATACGCTTAAAAAAATAAATATAAACATATATATATGCATTGGGTTGACCAAAAAGTTTGCTTGGTGTTTTTTCCCTAAGATGGCTCTAGTAGCATTTAGTTGTCTTTAACTTCATTCAAAACAATTTTGTTAGATTGTATTGTGACAGCTGTCATGTCAGGGTGCATTTATAAAAAAAAAAAACAACTTATCAAAATTGGTGAATTTTTGTGCAGCCATTTTAATATTTAAGATGGGAGAAAATATGCAACATTTTCAGCATATTATGCTTTATTATTTCAAGAAAGCTAAAAATGCAACTGTAACACAAAGAAATGATTTGTGCAGTGTATGGAGAAGGTGCTATGACTGATCTAACATGTCAAAACTGGTTTGTGAAGTTTCATGCTAGAGACTTCTCACTGGATGATGTTCCATGGTCAGGTACACCAGTTGAAGTTGATAGTGATCAAAGTGAGACATCAACTGACAACAATCAACGTTGTACCACACGGAAGACAGCCGACATATTCAAAATATCCAAATCAATAAAGTTATTGGTGAAAATGAAAAATGTGTCTTTTATTTTACAGAAAAAACTCAACAGATTTTTTGGCCAACCCAATAACTGTATCTCCTAGAAAGTGCCTGGCACATAGAAGGAAATTGATATTTGCTGAATGAGTGACTATTTTAGGAGTATTAAGAAAGCAACTGTACCTGAAGGGGGAAAAGTGAGCACTACTTAGAAAGCTTAAGCATTCTCATAAGCAGAGGATATATTTCTTTTTTAGGTCTTAATGACTACTGGATGAGTATGTGGTGGTGTTTTAATTTTGAATATTTTAATAAATACTACTAAATATTTATAAGGATACTCAATACTGAGATTTAGAATAAAAAGACAGTACTCTTTCAAAATGATTTTTACTATACAGCAGATCTTCCCAAAAGAAAACCGATTTTACATAGAAGAGATTTATAAACATAAAATACTGATCCACCAACCACAAAGGAAGGTGAGTAGGCATTTATTAAATATCTCTCTACTGTGTGATAGGTACTTCAAATTATGTCCTAGACTTAATAGGTCAAATCTAAAGCCCTCAAAAATCCAAAATAAATTCCTCTGCCACACTGAAACAATGTTAAAATGTCACTGAAGTAATACTAAGTTTCTTAAGTACTGAGAGATGGGATATTTTCAAAGTAGAAAAATGCTAAAAATGAACCACTAGAAAGGAGTTCATTCATCCACACAAGAGTGGTGTTTTATACTACTGTGTTCCTGACTATTAGCTACTAGGTTGATGTGGAGTGTTCCAGAATACAAATACCACCCTTTCTTTACCATTACTAATGCACAGTAAAGTAATCTCATGTTTTAAATAAAATTTAAATAGAAATAATCTTACCTCGGTCCTTCCTTGATTCCTTAAAAAGAGAAAAGGAAAAAATTTTAATTATTTAGATTTCATGTTTTTTTCCCTAAAATCTATGCTGAGAATTAAAAAAACACTACTGAATATTTACATAAAGTATTATATTTACAGAACTTAATATTTACCCTTGGCTTTCCTCAACTATCCTATCTATACTTCTATAGGAGAAACAAAAATCACATTAATCCCATGTATTTTAAGTTTGTGTCATTTAATACTACTATAAACTGTCCTAATATTATTTTATCCAAATAATGACTTTATTACAATTCTTATCTTTATTTCTGAGCAATTTTAGCATTCAGCAGCATGTGAATGCATATTTAATAGATATATAGTGTTTCAGCAAATTTTACTATTTATTTTGTCTAACTCAAGATGTTTCATTTACCTAACAAAATCTTAAAGATCAAAATTAAACAATATTTCAAAATTATAAACAATTTTTCTACACTATAAAAACAATATATGCCCATACATAAACATGTAGAAAAGCCAAAATAAGTTTTAAAATAACCATAATTCCACTGTTAACATCTTGGTGCAGTAAATATCCTTCCAGACTATTTCTATGTATTTGAGTTACATGTTAAAAAAAATTTTTTTTACAAATATGGAACCAATTTATACCTTGTAACAGCCTAGTTTTTATTTTTTTATTAAGTATATTTTATTGATTATACTATTACAGTTGTCCCATTTTTTTCTCCCCTGTATCCCCTCCACCCTGCACCCCCTGCATCCCCCCTCCCTCTCTAGCATCCCCCAACCCTAAGTTCATGTCCATGGGTCATACATGTAAGTTCTTTGGCTTCTCTATTTCCTATACTATTCTTAACCTCCCCGTCTAATTGTGTCTAATTTTTAAAAAATGTGTTAAATACCTACTATATGCAAAGTACTAAGTGTAAGGTCCTTGTCCCAGCCAGCAGAAGATACAAAAATTATATCTGTGATTATAAAATGAGATAAATTTTAATAAAGATTTGAAAGGTTTGGGAATGATGCACCCACAATTCAGCATGACAACAATCCCCTTGACATACACAGAGAGGCGGGCACTGAATTTACTACCGTCTCTTCTGTATCGCTCCTAAATTTGGCTTATAGAGGCGTTTAATTTAGCTACCTTTAAGATTGAGACACTGCAGGCAAAGGCAAAGACGCAGAAGGTACTTACATAATGTTTACTGAACTGAATTGAGGCTCATGCAAAAACCAACATAAAAAGTAATGAAAGCTCGAACCAGGTAATGGTAGAATGCAAGGAGGAGTACATGGCAGGTGTTTAAACTGTTAAACTTTCGGAACTGACAAAAGAGAAAGTGACTGGAAGTGGGCAGCAAGAGAAAAAGGACAGATTAAAAGATCATGCTAACATTTCTAATCAGAGTGACTATAAAATCATCCAGATGTAATTAGGAAACACTTGAGGGGAGGACTTCATTTTCCTATATAAAAATACAATTATAATGGCATCTTAGCTAAAATGATAAGAGACTGATGAACTCTGGATGAATTAATTTTCTAGAATAAAAATTAATCCTTGAAAAGTTAAAACTTATTTTTAAAAGATTATATACTTTTATCTTGGTGTGTGAATGTATGACGCACACATGGCCTTTTGAAGTTCTACACTGCAACTAAAACACCCTTTCCATGATGACCTGTGTTTAAGATAATAAATATCGACTACTTAATAAATAAGACTACTTAAACACAGTAATATCTTTGGAGAGGACTGAAGTAAACATCAGGCAAATCCTTTCACTGACCACCCCATAATGCTCTGCAGTTTCTCCTTCATCACTGAGTTCATTTCTCAATACCCCACAGCTAGTTCTTTAGACTCTAGTCTTATTCCTCTTGCCTTTTTGTCTTTCCTTTTTCTTACACTTTTAAAATACTTCTTAGATTTGACACCAATGGGGCCAGACTTTTCACTAAGCACCTTCTTTTCCAGATTAAGAAAATGAGGCAAATAATACCAAATCTTTTAACTGTGCTATAAGGCTGTTTTGTTGTTTTGAATTCCTATTAATACATCCTCTTCTTGGACAATTCAGCTCAAAAACCATTAGATGAGGCCAAGCAAGGTATGTATTTGTAGAGCGAATCTGAAATTTGAAATTGAGCAGGGTAGTCACAGCCCAGGTTGGGTAGAAAGGATGTGCGTGGGGTGGGGTGGAGGGGAGTCTGGAGCAAGGTGTCAGAGACTGTAATGTAAGGAGGGCATACACATAAAATGAGAATGGTTCAACAAGAAGAGTGTTAGAAGCTAGCAGGGCAAGCGCATCCACATGGGAGGACAACTGGAAGTAGGCTGCTGGAGCCCTAGAGAGGTTACAAGGCACGTCTATGAGGGGAGCGCAAACTCAGAACAGGGGATGGAAGACTGCACTGACAGCACCCTATGGAGGACAGCAACGGTAGCAGCCTAATATGGGGTGCTACGCAGCCCAAGCAATGTGAGGGGAGCCTTCACACACTGTTGGGGGAAGAGGCGTTTGAACAAATAAGAACAGAGGCCTGAACAAATAAGTGAACATATTAAAGAAAAGAGGAATCAGGTTTCTCACTTTCAGAAAAGAGATACAAATATGAAAAGGGAGAAAACCAAACACACCTGGTAGTGCTTGACTGGGGTATTCACATAACTTTATGATTTTCAATATATGTACATACAGAAATACATATAGATGTAAAGGCGTGCATGTACATACACTCTCCAGCCCTGCCCACTAAGAGGGACTGAGAGCAGTATGAGCCCTGTGGGGTCGACATCTTAGTTTCTACAAGGAACCAGAGTTACTTGCAAAAATGAATGACACCAGGGCTCAGAAATATACAGATGAGTTGAAAACATCTTTTTATGACAAAAAAATGCTCAAAGAATAGTGAGAACATGTCAAAATGCCACAGGACTTAACACTACTGAACTATATACTTAAAAATGGGCTCTGCCTGGGTGGTTCAGTTGGTTGGGGCATCGTCCCATACACTGAAAGGTTGCGGGTTTGATTCCCTGCCAGGGCACATACCGAGGTTGTGGGTTCAATCCCCAGTTGGGGTGCATACAGGAGGCAAACAATCAATGTTTCTCTCTCAAATTGATGTCTCTCTCCACGCCCCCTTTCTCTAAAATCAATAAACATATCCTCAGGTGAGGATTAAAAAAACGGTTAAGATGCTAAATATCTGGACAATTTGAACATTAGAATAAATGATGATGGCAACAAGGTGACCTACTGAATAAAACTGGAATCCATGAGCTCACATTAACATCAATAAATAAATGAAAAAAGTAAAAAATTTGATAGTGAACAGAATATACACCTAGTCTTAAAGTACCACACCACAGAATATTTACAAAGGGGAAAAGAGTATATATATGGTGAAGAAGCTTACAGGACACACCTTAATCAAGTGATGAAAACAACACCTATTAATAATGGGACAAAATGTAAATATGGAAACCTTGCTAGAAAAACTAAGAACCCAGCTGCATCTTTGTAACATTCTTGCGAAAGATGAATAACCTGAATCTAATCATGAAAAAACATTAGACAAACCAAGAATATTGACATTCATACAGTATACAAGTCAAAGAAAAATTTCCAAATGTTCTAGATTTAAGAAAACTAAAGAGACCTAATGACAGAACACAACATGGGCTTATGGACTTGGATCCTTTTGCTATGACACATTGTGGAGACAAGTGACAAACCCTGAATAAAGTCTAGGATTAGGTAGTACAATTTGATGTTAATCTACTGATTTGGAAAGGTGTACTATGATTATGTTAGAGAATGTCCTTGTTTGTGGTAAAAAAGTTCTTTTATATTATTCATCGAACTTTTCTGCAACTTGAAATTGTTTTAAAAGTATTAAATAATTTTAAAATGTGGCCAGTTTACTTAATCCCTTACTAAATAATTTGAAAACGTTACTAATTTTTCTCTATAACAATGCTAAAATGAATATCCTTATATACTAATCTTTCAACCTTTGCCATCACTACCTTGTAACTTCTATGGGATAAGTTCCTAGAAGTTGCTGGGTCAAAACCATATTTTAATCATTAATGTTTCTAGCCTTCTCATTATCCCAATCCCATGCAGCTGAATCAGTTTGTCTTTCTATAAGGACAGCATCAAGAACTGAACATAATGCTTGCACTGTGAATTAACTGACAGAGAAAACAGTGGAATTTTTATTCTACTTTGCTCTGAGCAGCAACGTGCGCGCGCGCGTGAGTGTTCAAATATGTTGCCTGACTGCCCTTCAAAGTCTGTACCAATCTAAACTCCTATCACTAGTATAACATTTTTCTAAATTTAGTCAATTTGATAACAAAAATTGTATCTCATTTTTTGTTTGCATTTTTTTATCAGTAGGCCCACATATGACATTGAATGTTAAACTGTTTAGAAACAAAGCTAAAAATTAAGTTTGAGATAAGCCATATTAGTACAGACTGCATGATTGTCAGTAAAAAAAACCATGTACCAAACATTTTGAAAACTGGAAGTTTTCTTAAGCAGGATGTTGATGTAGAAAGTTTTGTTTAATTTTAAAATGACACCCCCCTAAAAAAAAAGTATAAACCTTGCATAGAGAGAATGGGTATTTTAGGGGAAAAAAGAGGTCTAGGTTCTATACACTGGGAGAAGCAGCAGAAAAAAAAATATGCTTTAAAAATGTTCACATTCTAATTTTCTAACTATCTCGCTTTTGGAACTACAGAATAAAATAGCCATTATTGAAAATCTGTCTTAGCAGTTTTAATCATTTAGAGATTCAACAAACATTACTAAGTGTCTACTATGCTTGGCACTGTTCTAGACCCTGGAGGTAAAGCAGTCAATAAGACAGAAATCCTCACCTTGTGGAGCTTCTACTCTAGTAAGACAGATGAACAACATACAAATAAAAATAGAGCATGTCAGATGGGCACTGTAGAAGCTGACTAAATATTTATCAACTGAATGAAAGAATGGCAGTAAGTTCTATAGAGGCAAAAAAAAGAAAGTAAGGGAAAAAGAGTACTAGGTACTATTTTACGTAGGATAATTAGAAAAGGCCTGGTAACCTAACATTAGCTATGGATATATCTAAAGGAAGAGTGTTCCAAAAAGAAGAAAGAGAGGAAAAGTGAGTATTAAGTTTGAAATGCTCTGAAACATCCAAGGGGAAACACTGGAGAGGTAATTGGATACATGAGTCTTGGAGATCAGGACAGAGGCCATACTTAAGACATATCGTTAAATACAACCTGATATGCTATTAGACCAGATAAGATCACCGAAAAAACTAGCCAAATAAAAGAAAGAAAAGAACTAAAAACTGAACCGTAGGGTCATATAACATTTAAAGACTGAGAAGATGAGGAGGAGAAGCCAGCAAGAGAGACTAAAAAGGAATAGTCGGTGAAGGAGGAGAATCAAGAGAATGATGTCTCAGAAGTGCAGTGGAGAAAAGGGTTTGGGGATAGAAGTGATCAATATGTTAAATTCTGTTGAAGGTGAATTAAGAGGGCTGCTAGTTGACTGTTAGATTTTAGGAATGTGGATGTGACAGACTGCAAAAATGGAACACAAATTATCAGCAGTGACTTCCACCAAGAGGTGGAGTCTATTGCTCCACCCCTGGAGTTGGGCTCAGCTATGGGAGTTGCATTTGGCAAACCACATCCAAGAACAGGCTCACAAAGTGCTTGTGCATTGGGGTTTCCCCTCTCTTCTGCTACTAGGAATTCTTTCACCATCATGTGAATAAGCATGCTGGAGATGAAATATACATGACTACTACCCCAGCAAGCCAACCATGAGACACATGAGTAAGGCCATTCTAGCCAGAACACCCAGCCAGGTCAGCCCCAACCAGAATTGCCCCTATAAGCAAATAAAATGGTTTTTGTCCTAAATCACTGAATTTTGGGGTGGTTTGTTTTGAAGCAAAAGCTTGATAAAGAAGATAATGGTGAAAGGTAAGAACTATTTAAATGAAGCAGCAGGCACAGAAATCGTGTCAGAGCTGGATTAGGAATGAATGGACAGAGCCTTTCTGCTCTAGGCCCAAGTGGCCACTGTGGAAATGGGCAAGTTTATGAAACCTTGCCCAAGTTTATGAAAGTGGTGCTGGTCCTGCCTGGATGCTACTCCAGACACAAAACGGTCATCATGAGGAACACTGATGACGGCACCTGACTGCACTTACAACCATGCTTGTGTGTCTGGAACTGACCACTATCCCCACAAAGAGACAGCTGCCATAGGTAAGAAGAAAACTGTCAAAGGTCAAAGATCAAGTCTTTTGTGAAAATTTATAACTACAATTGCCTCATGCCCATGAGGTACTGTGTGCATATCCCCTTAGACAAAACTATTGTCCCTGCTCTGAAACAGAAAGGCCCGAGGGGAGGCCAAGGTCAAGTTCAAAGAGAGGTACAAGCCTAGCAAAGAACAAATGATTCTTCCAGAAGCTGCAATTTTAGATCTTTTTTGTTTCAGTTTTTAAAAAAAAAATAAAATTGGATGGATACAGTGAGTGGAACACAAGGCCTCGGGCTGCCCACTGGCTGAACTTTAGGAGGATTCCCTTTGTAAGAAGGCCATTGCCTCCATCAGGAAACTGTTATATTGTTTAGCAGGTATTCCCTACCCCCTTCCAACAGTGGCACAATGGCAAAATCCTTCTACTGAAGCACTTAACTTGATACATCCAATTATGACAACCCAAGTACAACTCCTCACAAGATGTGGAGAAGGAGGAGGGATGAGGGAACTACATATTCTGCTTTACTGACAATAAGTTTTACCAATAAATTTGACTTCATATTTACACCTGTCAGTAGGGGGGCAGTGAGAGTGTTTATGCGTGTGCATATACACATGTACCCATGATTCACCACAAAGCATCTAAACCATCTCTTGACTAGCTTTGACATGCTCATTACCTCTCATTTTCCAGGTAAATTTTCTGAAAAAGACTAATTCCATTTAAAATTTTTTTAAAACAGCATTTCAAAATGTCAAAAATATACAAATAACTTACTTGGCAATCCGTAGTTTCCCAACTTCACCTCTTCCAGGGGCTTTAGCCCATTGCTGTGACAAATATTTAGGAACCTAAAACAAAGTAAAATATTAATAAGACTAAGTTTTGAATAATAACAAATCTTTTTAAACTTAAAATGATTATACTGCTTCCATTTTACTTTATGCCTGTAATAAATAATCATTAATATCCAACTAGTATTATATGTTTGTACTATAAGGATACTAAGATACATAAGAAATGATTTTAGCTCTCAAAGAGCTTGAAGCCAATCAAGTTTGTGACACAAAACTAACATGGATCAAATAACAATAAAAATGTATTAACTTATGTTCCCAAATAAGTCCAATAAAAGTTCAGAGATAAGAAAGGCTACCAGAAAAGACTTCTCAGAGGAACATAACACTCTGACATGATATTATTTAGGACACCACTGACTTTAAGATGATTTCAGAAGTTCAGTTTTATTATGTATAATAATAAACACTGACTAATATGAATGATCTGCTAAAATAAAAAATTACTGAACATTAATAGCTAACATTTATATAATACTACTTTCCTGATACTACATACTTTCCATACATTTACATCTTTAATCCTCACATCTCTACAAGATATGTACTGTTGATTACCCCCATATTTAGATGATGGATCTGAGGCACCCAGGGATTATAATTTACCAAGGTTATATAATCAGCAAATGATGGAGCCAGGATTCAAACCCAGGCAGTCTGGTTCCAGCATCTATGTAACCAATACACTATATTTTGTCGGTAACTAGATATATGCAATCAGAAGGGTTGTCATTCTCAAAATGGTTAGGAAAATACATGTTGAATCCCTGATGTGCAGCTTAACTCATTTCTTCTAGAAGTAGTGTAAACTCTGGAATCATCACATACCTTTACAGTTTTTCTATCATGAGTAAGATACAAAGAATGAAGCACAATGCCTTACACAAAGCAAGCACTCAATGAGTGTCAGGTGTCATTATTTCCCACAGTAATCCTGGAACGATAACATGAACATGAATGTATAAATGAGCCCGAGTTTCCAAAGGTAGAAAGGGGGGAAAAATCTATTTGTCGAAATTTCATTCACAAAAAGAACCACTTGACTCTTGGTCAAACAAATCACAGAGCTTTGGATATAGTAAAAATTCAGGAGTAAAAGGGTCAGAAGGAGACCCTTATTTAATTATGTATGCAGTCTTTGTAATAAAACTTATTGAACAACTATTAGGTGTCAAGCAGAATGCTAAAAGTTTGGAAAAGAGAAAGGGGAAAGGGAGCCAACAGTGTCAGGTACCCTGCCAGATAATTTGCATCCATTATCCCAATAAATCCTTCAAATCACCCTGCAAAATCTGCAACATTCTCATTCTATAGATAAGAAAATTGAGGCTCCAGAGGGTTGAAATAACAGTTAGCCAATATCAGACACAAACCCAGACTCCAAATTGGTCTGGTGTTCTCTTCCCACACCAATTTAAAAGAATATGTAAAAAATCTGAGGGAAAGGGAGTTGTGAAGATTCCACATCTTAACACAATTTTAACTACGGTGCACTCCACTTATTCATACAAGCTTAGAGGACTAGGTAAATTCTTTATGATAAATGTATCTACCTATTTGGTCTCCTTTGATTATGGGTGAGAAGAAAACCCACTAAAACATACAGAGGACTTACTGACCAGGTAACTGAAAACTCGAGAAGTAGCTTTAAGGTGGCTTGAGTGAGGGCTCAAATGATGTCACCAGGATTCTTTCACCACCTCTTACTCTCCCCCATGTTGACTCACTTCTTTGACAGCCTTTGCCCATGTGTGGCAAGATGGCTGAAGCAGCTGCTAGAAGAGCAAGAGTCCCTCCTTCTCAAAAGTCCCCAGGAAAAACATGACTGTCTCTCATGGCGCTGAGTAGGCCATGTGTCCATCCTTGGGACTATCTCTTGGAACCCAGAGATGAAATCCTTTCAATGGGCACTCCTTTTGGGAAGCTGTAGTCAACACCAGTAGAATCACACAGACTGAAAAGGGGAACAGTGGTTTCCAAAAAGTAAAATCTGGGTGCTGCTACAGTGTCAGAGTAAGTGGATACTGCTTAGTCAGAGAAGCAGATGTCCACAACATTACCTATCAGGATTATAAATAAATACAAGATCTAAAACTGACCTGCACAAATACTGTTAAAACATCAAATAAAACCTTGAATCCTTACACTATGTAAATTATTACCTTATGGCCTCAAGCTGCCTAACGCTAGCTTTTCCGTCTTGCTTTGTCTTTGCTTTTTAATTCTAATACAAAGAGAAAACTACCTCTACAGATAGTAGCCTACTCTACCAATCAACTATAAGCTGTATTCTCTACTAAAGTCCTTAGGGGGGGGAGACAGTATCTTTTCCTCATCGTAATCCAAGTTACTGCTTTAAATGAGCCCTTTATTTAGACACCCTAAGACTTCCTCAGTAACAGTATCCCTTTCACAATCTATATTTCAAGCAATCATTCTGACACCACTTCGACTCCAACAATTCTTCCATCACTTTAGTCACTGACTCTAATGTCTTTACACTGTCCCCTATCTGCTCATGTCTTCTTTCCTCTCTTTAAAGGACCTGTATTTTACAGTCCATCATTGTAATAATTCCACTGCTCCTATCTTCATCATACTGGCCTGGCTGAACCTTAATCCTAATTGAAGCCAATATGGACTACTATTACTTTTATTAATTCATTTATCTATTTATTACTTGTGTTCCTCCTCCTCTTCTACATTTGCACCTGAGCAGCTGAAGAAGCGCAATCATCCTAAATGGTCTCAACAGAAATATATGGCTACTAACATCAAGTGAGCCCTTTAAGATGCCTGGCAATTTAATTCCATCTCTTTAATCAATTCACTCTCCCAAACCAGGTAATTCACTTGTTTTCTTCATTCCTCAAAGGTATAAAACCTCTTCCTTCCTACCTCTGTGCTGATAACCTGATTTCCTTTTCCACTAAGGAAAAAGAGTAATCAAAAGAGAAGCTCTACTATATTTACTCTGCTTTCCCCTCTTAAAACTAAAAATAAAATATGGCCAATTCCTCCACTGGTACATGCATTTCTTTCCCTGTACTCTCAACATCTTTTAATTCTACTCCTTCTCTCCTCCATCCTCTTCTTTACTTACTCATTCCCCCATTAGAGAAATGATGATGATGATGATGACAGCTAACACTCAGAGTGCTTACTTAATGTGGCAGGAAGAATCTAAGATGTCCCCCAATGCCCTCCACCTCCTCATATTCACACCATTGTGTAATCCTCTCTCCTTGAGTGAGAAAGGGGCTTCTACTTGCTTCTATTTAATTACAACATGGCAAAGGTGGTGGGATGTTACTCCTGTGATTAGGTGACTTTAGCCCTGCTTCTCACTGGTTGCTAAGTTTGCATGCTTTAATGAAGTAAGCTGCTAGGATAGAGAGGCCCATGCGGCAACAAACTCAGAGTAGGCTCCAGCCAACAGACAGCTAGGAATTCAGGCCATCAGTCCAACGACCCCAGAGGAACTGAATTCTGCCATCCATAGAAGCTTAGAAACAACCCTCCTCCAGTCACAACTTCGGATGAGAAGCCAGTCCTGGCTGACACCTTGATTGCAGCCTGTGGGAGACTATAAAGCAGAGGACCCAACAAAGCTATGCTAGAACTCCTGATCTACAAAAACAACGCAATAATAAATGTATGCTGTTTTAAGCTACTAAGTACATGGAAATGTTAGACAGCAATAGATAAACACTAAGTGACAAGTACTCTAAGTGTTTTAAATATATTAACCATTTAATCCTTACACAATCCTATTTCCTCCATTTTTCAGAGGAGGAAACTGAGGCACAGGGAGGTTAGCAAATTTGCTCAAAATTACTACCTAGTAAGATGTGTAATCTTTCTGCCCACTGACCCATTTCTCTGCTTCTCTTTACAGCAAAGCTCTTTGAAAGAGCTGTCTCTGATGGCTGACCAGAGTTCCTCCTCTCCCATTTTGCTATACTCTGCCCAGGCTTTCCTCTTTGCCCAGTGCACTGAAACCAATGGCTACAGTTACCAAAGATCTCCACATTGCCACATCAATGTTTAGTCTTCATCTTACACACCCATCAATGGCATCTGAGAACTGTTTCCTCCTCCTTCACACACTTTCTTCACTTGGTGTCAAGTCACACAATCTCTCCTGATTTTTCTCCTACTTCTCTGTACTCTCCTTTTTGGTCTCCACACATCTACATTCTCATCCTCCTAACAACCTCTTAACTTCAGATGGCTCTTGTTTCAGTCCTCAGGCCTCTCCTCTTCTCTAGCCACACTCAATTGTGTGGAGTTTCATCCTGTCTCATGGTTTTAAAAGTACCATCACTCTCTCCCCAAGTCCCACCTTTTATATCCAACTGCCTACTCAAGCTCTCCATCTGAATAATCATTTGACATTTAAAACTTGAAATTCCCTCACAAGAACTCCTATTTCTTCCTCGTAAACCTGCTGCTCCTACAATTTTCCATATCTCAGTAAAAGTTAACTCCATTCTTCTGGACACTCAGTCTGAAACCTTGCAGTTACCCAGAATAGTCCTTTTTCTCCTTCGCATTCCACATCCTGTCACCTTACACATCCTATCAGCAACACCTTCAAACTATATCTGGCCTCCAGTCCCTTCTCACCAATTCCAGGGTTACCATCCTAGTTCAAGCTACCATCATCTCTTGTATAATAATTGCTATAGCCTCCTAACTTCCTTGCTTCTACTTTTGTCCATGTCTAATTTATTCTCAATAGAGCAGCCAAAGTAACCTTCTTAAAACATAAATCAGATAAGTGTTCTGCTCAAAGCTTTTCGATTTGACATCTACATAGTGCTATGTGCCAGATACTTTTCTAAACACTTTACAAGTATTACTTCACTTAATCTTCATAACAACTCTATTATTATCCCATTAGCAGATGACATAACTAACGCATCAAAGAGTTAATATTTACCCAAAGTCTCACAATTACTACCGGTGAAAACCAGACTCTAACCTAAGCA